CATGGCAAAACACAAGGTCCGACATGTTCTCACTAAGGGAAGGTGTTTCCATCCGTAACAATCGATTGTGGCAAATAATTCGTCGAAGAGTTAGGGGCCGGAACTGATTAACCAGTTGACGTATGAAAGATTGAAGTCCCTTGCAATTATTTTGCAATTAGTACCAAACGAGGAGGCGTGTGCAAGCGACTTGTCTGTTTTCGACATAGAACTTTGCACATATATGCGGCAGTTCAAGTCGCCGCAAGCGACTTACCTAATAATGCACCAGTTTCTTTGCTTGGTCATGGCGCTCGATAAACACAGCCAATGAGAAGTTTGTACTTATATCCATGTAAGACGATCCAGAGTGAATCGGGTACGACATTCAGTATTTCATCTTCCACCTAACTGACTACGAGTGAGCTATGTATATATATATGAGAAAACCCTCACCACGTTTGAAATCTCTAGTTGCACGAAGTAGAGTGTAATCGTCTATTCTAAATGCACATCAAGTAAAGAGGATGAGCACCATGATTCAGTTATCAGAGCTACAGTAGGCTTGCCGATTAATATTAATGTCCTTAGTTCAGATATCCTATTGATTAGGGCCCGTGCATTAATTAGTAATATCGTGAATAAGTCACGAGATACTACAAAATGACTGAATGATAAGGTGGCCGGACTGGGTGTCCATACATTTCGGTCAGAGTGCGACGAGGTGGTCCTAGGTGCCATGGGTCGTACCAGTGATTCGTTACACCTAAAAAATTAGTGTGTGTTCCTGGATGTACGGGCAGTAGTGGGCGAGGCTGGGTTGCGGAATAAAAGGCATAGCATTGTAAGGTCTATCCATCAATCTGCCATTCGGCTTATCGGTACGCGTGTTGTTGTTGTTTTTTTAACCAGAAGAATACTGTTGGGGAAGATGCTTTGGTTGTAGGCGTCTGAGATTTTTGAAACTTAAGTATCCATTAGGCTGATTATGCTGAATAGACCACCCATATATATCTTTCTATAGTTTGTTTTTAAGGATTAGTTATGTTTTACGAGTTGATTACGGACTGATATCAGTTAGAGAACCGGGGTTGGAATCCCAGTGGGTGCGTACTGCCGATGATTCCCAAACTAGGATGAAACAGCAGCTGTCCCTGGTTTTCAATGGTTCTCTGACTGATATTAGTCCGTGATCAACCCATATATGTGTTTTTAGAAGGCTTCTTATTATCTAGTGTGGGATTTTTGGCACTCCTACTCTTAGCAAGCTTATCGGATACAAAGTATTCCTCTCCTTAGGAACTTCGGCAAGTTTTTGAAAAGCTCTCACCTGAAATGAGCTTGTGAGATTTGGTGTTTCAGATACCCATAACAAGGCTATCGATTGTTCAAGAAAGGCTTTTACTACTGCTTCCACCGTATTGCTAGTGAGCAGTGCACCTTACCAGACTCTGGTGAACCTTCGATGCATGTTAATAAGTATGTGAATCCGTAGGATCTTGGCAGGTGACCATGTGAGTCCAAATGAACATGGAAGAAAGTAGTATCCGTATCCTTGAAAGATCCTAAATGTGTGGCCAAATATATCTTGTCGAAATTATTTTGGCTGAAGACTTTGCCCCAGGGTGTGATAATGAGAGAAAATAACTAAATATAACTTTCGGCATAGTTCCATGGATGGAGGGTCAGGAGGGATTTTCGTTGTCTCATTACATGAAGCTGTCATATACAGGAGATGGCAATTGTCAATGTTTGAGTTGGGAGCTATTTGCAGTGAGGGTGCGCTTCAACTCTTCTTCTGATTTTCGGCTGGTGCTCTGGAGTCTACAGCGGCCCGTTCCACTGTACTCAAATGCATTCTGAACGGCTCATTAGCCACACAGTTCTCCGCCACCCTCGAAGTGTCCTGTACCACCGTCGAACTGCGACATAAAATCAAGATAACGAATTAGGCATGATAATTATTTGCTCGTTTCCGCGTTTAGTGCCTAGGTGAAAGGCTTTTAACCTATGCAGATTGTGATTGGTTTGGCCTCACCATGTGACGAAATTATTTAACTGCTAAGCAGATTGTTGACAGCTCTCTGCCGACGGTGGAATGCCTCGCTTCTCAGTGATTAAGCCATCTGAAGAACAATGCTATTATTTCCCAGATATTTCCACATGGCTAATTTAGAGCCTCTCACAAACTCTCATTGGATGCCCCTACAATTAATGCGAGAAATGCGTACAGATCAGGGTATTTCGGGCATTGGTTTTCGCCAGCGCTTCTGTCAATGACGTGCCCTTAGAACTCTATTGTTCCGCTTCAGAAACCCGCTCACTGTGATGGTTTTCAAGCGGTTGCTTTCCAAATTGCTGAAAACTGCACGAATGTGATGTTAGTGTGTTAGAAAGAAGAGAATACGAAATTCAGCAAAGATATCTTTTCGGTGATTTCATTTTCAAAAGCTGTACAATCGTATTTAAATACATAATTTTACATGGAGACAATTCTTGATTGATTCTACATAATTACGACGGCGAATAAAAGGTGATACTTATTTCCAACTAGATATGGTTTTTACGAGAGGCTTAGAAACAAGATTACACAGGATTAGAACAGACATCAAGTGTGTAAAAATGAGCATGGAAACAAAATTGAAACAATAATTTTCAACTTGAGATGGGAATTTGGAGGTGCGAATATAGATTACAAGAGCCACAAAAATTGCACAGGATTAAGATATAATTGTAAAATAGTTAATTTTTTATTATTATTAAACGAATTATAAATGTGAACAGGAAAAGCATGGAAACAAACTTAAAATAACTGTTTTTGTAACTGAAAAAATGGGGTGAATCGAATGAAGACTGAGGGAGTGAGAATCACACACATAACAGACGAAAAAGGATCAAAAGGAAAAAAGAGAACGAAAGAAGAAAAAAGAAAACAAAAACGGAAGCTAGGGTAACATACAGAACTAGATCCATGGTAGTTGTAGAGGTTGGACTAATTTCTTTTGAACACAGCTCCGGCTTCTCGGTGGATATTGCGAGGGCTTCTGCAGTACAGAGAAGTCGGAAACGTACTGCTTTCGATAGATTTCTGTTGACTTTGTAAATTACTTTGAAAGAATCAGTTGAGATGTTGTGGGAGGTGTTGATCAGATGTTCAATAATGACACTTCTGATTGAACCGGTGTCTCCTCTTTGCAGCCACACTGGGTAATGTTCTCTAACAAGTTTTGAAAGGACGCGCATACAACGACCTACGTACCTAGCTCCGCACGAGCAGGTGAACTGGTATATGCACATTGAATTGGTCATGTGCGAGCACACATTGTGTGCTCTGGTTTTCTGACAAATAGAGGCGTTTAGCCACCTTGCGCTTAAGCACTGTGTATGGTTGCTCGTTTGAGAGGGGTGGGTGAAGTGAAGACGATGCAGCTCCTAGATAAAACTACAAGGTAATTGGGAAAAAATGCCCGACACCTGGCAGTTTCAGTCTCTGTGTTGTACGCGTCAAAGTGGAGCTCTAGTTGGGTAAACCATACTTCCGGGTCATATAGATCAAATTCAGGTGATATAACTTTAGAGATTACTAAACAGTCCGTCTCCACAAGAGGAGATTTTTAAAACTTGGTTTCCATGTTTTTCAGATGAGACACTATAATGAACTAAATAATACGTACCATAAAGAAAATAAATTTGTAAAACCCCCAAAGACAAAAGAAACACATGGAGTATAATCAAATATATTGAAATAGAATGAAATAAGAACAAGAAATTGGTTCACTGATGTGGAAACCGACTTTTCTGCCAAAATAATTATGCAGATTACCCACCGACCGCTTGTAATATTGCAAGTGAAGTGGAGAATGGCTATGCAAACGCATCGAAGGGTATTCAGTAGTCATAGTGCTTACTTGCTCACTCGTCCCATCTTACGGAATTTTCCATTTACTTACTACATCTGAATGGCCATAACATACCACGTTGTCGAGACCCTACAGGCCAAATGAATACTTCCATCAATATCCCCAGCCTAACTACAGGTGCAACTATAGTGAATCTATCGCTACGACTTCGTGTTATTTGTCGAGAGGGTCGAATAGCAACATGGTATTTGTGAATGGGATCTAGACACTAGTTATAATACAGAGTCATTCTGACATGCAAAACTACAGAAGCTGACTAATGGACAAAAATATTCCAAGTAATATTTCGAATTTTAAATTGACATAATTCTTATAGGCTCTAGATCTATTCTAAGCATAATACCGACGTTCTAAGCACTCATACTGCAGTATGCACCCTGTAATTATTACTACTGCGTTCTGGTGTCATTCGAATACGCTTGACAAAGAGATAAGCATTTATAAGTATGCACACGTTTGGTGTGACATGAACAGCGGGAAAGGAAGATGAGTAGTGATTTGAAACACTTGATCCCTAAATCATGGAACCGATTCGTAGGAAAAGTGTCTATGGCTTCAGTCGCCTTGTTATAGACGTCAATAGGAAATCAAATGTTCTAAACAGTAATAGATTATGCTAATCCACAACCACAATTAAAAATCTTGAATAAAAACAGTAGAAAGAAGTAAGAGTCGCAGGACTGATGGAATTCTAGAGCCAGGGTTTCATGTTACTTCTAAATATCTGGCTATTCAAAAGGAAAACTATGAGCGATTAAAACTGTTTTAACCAATCTATACAGTGTAGCAAGAGACTAGATGTTATTGTTTCACTTTTCTCCAATAGCTCAGTACTAAATAGTGAAAAGACTAAAAGTGAGACACAGTAACACGACAGTAATAATGTCGCATACAACTAATCACACATAACCAACCATCCATACCACTCCCCACGGAGTGAAGCAAAACTAAGATAGGTGAGTGATATGGCCAACTACACAGAAAATTGCCCGAAATAATGAACCCTCGCTTTAAAACCAAGAAGCCAGTCCTGAGCGATTAATGTAGTATTCGCCAGCTCACATAAAGGTTATTGGATATTTAATTTTTGTTTTTCCACACCAATTTTCAAGCCAAGTTATTAGTGTTACAATCGATCGACGTCGATTTGGCTTGTTTTTGTGATGAATATATTTAGGTTTTTTGGAGATGCGTCACATTTTGTCGCTATTATAATTCTACTTTTAAAAATTTGGAAGACCAGATCGTGTGCAGGTGAATCTCAAACCAAGCAATAACAATTGACTTCATTTCAGGATTATCAGGACGTAGTCAGATTGCGTTCGCTCTTGTATTCACCACTCGTTATGTTGACCTTCTCACCACCTATGTCTCATTGTATAATTCTTTTGCTAAGATAGTTTTTATAGTTTCATCCTACGCAACTTTGTACTTAATCTATTTCAAATTTAAGCCTACATATGATGGTAACCATGATACCTTTCGACTGGAGTTCCTACTTATCCCATGTGCTTTGTTAGCACTTATTGTCAACCATCGGTTTCAATTCATAGAGGCATGTTCTTGTTTTTTAAAGACATAATACCCTATTTTAAAGTTGTTGTGGACTTTCTCTATATATTTAGAGTCCGTGGCTATACTACCGCAACTGTTTCTCATCAGCAAAACTGGCGAGGCTGAAACCATCACGTCACACTACTTATTTGCCCTTGGTTCATATCGTGGTTTGTATATCTTGAACTGGATATACCGGTATTATGTGCAGAGTCATTATGACCTGATAGCAATTGTCGCTGGTGTGCTGCAGACACTTTTGTACTGTGATTTCTTTTACTTGTATATAACTCGAGGTAAGTAATTATTTTTGTTGGACTAATAATTCCTTTATTAGTAATCAAAGGGAAAGCCTTCGCTCTGCCTGCATAACTATTGCATTATTGCACGAGCTCCCTCAAGAGAAGTATGCAACTGTAATTTTTTAAAAAACTTTTCTCTGTAAAGAATTGTTACAAACGCAAAAGTTCTAGACATTTTTTATCGTATGAAGGTGAAGGACGACTAACGTCTGCATTTGAATGTGTCAACACCAAAGTAACTGGACATGCATCTCATAACTCAAAATCTTGTCTGCTTTTCTTAATACTAAAACCAACTTTACCATTTTCCATTCAGTTGCTTACAAGCCCGCTGTTCTGCATTTTAACTGCAACTCCTTGTTTTGTATTGTTAAATTGACTTAATCCCAACACTCGTGTTTTACCAGCCCTCACGTATGATTACAGGATACATGTGTTACTGAGTTTTCTTCCTTTTTCATCTTTACGTTGGTGTACGGCTAGAGATTTATCTTGATCTGATAATTCTACAGTAAAATTCCTATTTTGTCACCTAAGATTTCTCGCTACTTTTATGGAGGTAAGACTGCTTGTCGCTTTAGGGAATAAAACTGAAAGCAACAACACTGGAAGATATGTCACAGGCTTGTTCAGTGTAGTAGTAGTAGTAGTACTAAGCAGCAATGATTTTTTTATAGGCATCAACTTGTCTCCTTACTATTGTAGATAGTGAGTCAGTATTTCATTTTGTACCAACTAGTTCGATTTTTCAAAATGAAAAGAAATTATCCATAAATTTGTTGGTCTATTACCCAACTAAAAACTCTAGAGTACTTCATTTTTCCAGTAGTTTACGACCTCAAGGCTAACTTGTATCCTTAGTGTATAGTTCAAAGCAGTATTTGTTTGATTTTTGATGTTTCTTCAATCATGTTTTCAATTCTGTCCATTGATGGTGCTCTGTTAACTTGATTTTCTTACTCTTAAGTAGCTACTTTTGTTTACATCTTCAATTTTCTGAGAAAGAAGTTCGGAAGAAGACTAGATATAAGAATACACGGGCAATAAAATTCTTAAGAATTAATATTCTGTAATGCATGTTGCCTGGCACATGTTATGACAAGTTAGTAAAAATTATATTTGTAAAATCCCAGCGAATTTAAAATATTATTTTAACGTTTCCTGCGTTCAGCAAAACTGGTCCGGACTTCTTCAGGGAAATTAATCAAAATTAAAATAACAAAGGTATTTATGTATATAAAAAGGACATCTCTTAAATTTAGAAACCACCTTGTCCAATCATATGAATCATGAAACAGATATCAAAATACACAACAGATATAAATGCATGAACTGTGAGCAAAATTTGACCACAGACCTACAAATATTAGTCTGCTTTTGTTAGACAGTGTGTGCTCTTGCATCAGACTTTTGGTGATTACGTTCGACTAAAGTCCATGATCATAGATAACTGAATTTGAAAAATATGTATGTGCGATATACAATGGTATGTGTATAGGTGCATAGGGCAACGATTGTAAATCATTTGTTAGCCTCTCTATAAGAATATATAAACAAACGGGAATTTAGATTGGGTATAATAGATTACTGATACACATACCTTTTTATTTATTAATCTGGACTTGCCATGCATCAGCTAACTAGATCATACGTTCACGCCCATGGAAGCCTTCGGGATTCACCTATGTATGTAAGATCTATCTTCTCAGCAATCCCTTCACAGCTAAACATCGCCATAGTACCTCTCTCTAGACGGAGATGGAGCCACCTTTAGGTCAAGAAATATGCTGGACGCCGGTAAGTATGCCTATGTTCCGTTCCATAATCTGTAGAAGGGTGAAGATAGGGTCTAAAGCCTTCCTGGTTGTCTCGTGTTTGTTTCTCCTTCGAGCAGCACCACTAAGTCTACGCATGATTACTTAGCTTAGGACTTTAGATACCATATTGGTCAAGCTTATCCCCCTGTGATAATCACAGGATAATAAACGAATTACACCAGCCCGACAGGACTATCTCTGACGCAGACAGTAAACTATCTCTACCGTACTTAAACACCTCTATAGTCATTCCACCAGACCCCACTGCATCGTTTCAGATTAGTGACAGATTTTTTAACCTCAGTTACGGACGAATGGACAGCGTTTATATCCCGTGCGAACTAAGTTGATCGTGGCTGTAGGCCAGTTAAATTGCTCCTCAGAGTTTTTATCAACGTTCCAGTCGTCTATCCTGAGAGCTAGTTATGGCGCCATTTTTCTTGGGGATTGTTTCACTTATCATTTGTCTTTTGCCACCTGTGTTTCCCCGATAAGTCAAAAAAGTTGTTTGGTGTTACCTATCGCTGCTGTCTTTTTCATTTCCTTCGCTTTTGTCGCCCACCACTGCAGTCGGTTGGGGCGTAGGCGGAGACAACGACAGGAAACGACACCCTTCTGATGGACCAGTTCAGACGGATCGCACACATACGACTATCTACTGGGATCCAGTCAAGAAGAGACTTTTCTGCCCTAACACTCAATACTATTCCTACACCTGCAAGTCCTCGCAAACTAGCTGAGAAATCTGACACCCTTAAGGTGGATTTTGCAGATTTAACTTGTAGGCCGGCCGGTGTTAAGAGAATAACCACAGGCTCGGGATGCCAGAATTCTGGCTATTGATGTCTGTTATCTGATTTAGCAGAGGGTCCTGACGTTAAATGCTCCAATATAACGTTGGTGGCTTGGCTTTGAAAGACTATTGGGAGTGTTTCTCTGGCCCTTGTCGCTATTCGTGACAGGGGTGAAGGAGGATGGTGATCAGGAGGGTCTCGTGTGCTTTTGGAAGTGTGTGGGTGTTATTTCCCACACCGTAGTTGATTCTCCTGGGGTACCTGAAACAGAAAGAGAATTAGTGTTGCTTGATCGCAGAGCCCAGGGGAGAACTACTTGAGGCCGGTCACACATGGCTTGTCTAAATTGGCTTTTTGGTTTGGTTCCGTATTAGAAACTTACCACCGGCTATGCACTATCGTAGGGTGAGTCAGAATGTACAATTTTTAGGGTCGACCTTCTCTAATCCCTCTCTCCAGAGTGGAGAGACAGTATAGTTGACATGCTGGTTATTTAAGAGAAACACATTTTACTGCTGTTACATCCCTGTTTCGCGTCAGTACAACTCTGTCTGCATAATGTTAAAAATCTAACACAATGTCGATAACTGCATTTAGTCTAATCCCTGTCCTAACAACCTTCCTAGCATGGTAGGACTTGCGGGAACACTAGCTCCAGGCAATGTAGCTCGTGGGTTCATTGCGATATCCAAGCCCAACCACCACGTCAAAGTAGCAGCTGTCGGTCAGGCCAAGCCTTATATATTTATTCCGATTAGTTACCCTGAAGAAGTTTGGACCAGTTTGCCGGGCGTAGGCAATGTTGGAATTACTTATTTCAATTTCGTTGAGACTATACAGATGTATAATTTTTATCTATGTCTACTTCTTACTCGGCGCCTAATTATTTTGGAACTATTCGGTCAAATATTGATCACAGTTCATATGGACAAGACGGGTAGGTTGTGTAACCTAGAATCTGTCCTATTGTCATTGACTAACGATCTTTATTAGAAAGGCATTAACTATCCTAAGATTGAAAATGTAGAAATAGGCAAAAAGTGTAGGACATTTAATTCATCTGATTAGACGTGGAAGGTTGTAGTATTTAGGTTTATAATGCCAAACAACTCTAAATAAATGCATGTATCAAATAATCTTTTCTCTCTCTCTCTCTCTCTCTCTATATATATATATATATATATATATATGCATGATGTAGTGATAGTAAATTATTCTGTAAATGGACATCATCAGGTGGACCAAGTATTAAGTTTAGACCTATTGCCATTACTTCACCCTTTGTAAAAATAATGGAAAAGCTGCTTCTGCGTAGCCTTGGACCTTCATTGAAGGCTGCTTTTAATGACCCTAATCAAATTGCTTATAAACGTAGTACGTGGACTTTAGATGACACTGTTGTTTTACATCATAGTACTGTCCCTAATTTATCAAGTGTGTCAGATATGTTCGGTGTGCCTTCCCAAATTACACACGGGTCTTTGACTCTTTAGCTTGGTCTCTGTTGTGTTAAACAAAGCAGAGTGTTGGACTAATAGGTGCTTGCATTCCTATTTTCCAGACGGGAGGCAGTACACTATTTACAGTGGGAAGTCCTTCACTGTTTCACTTACTCTAGTTGGTGTTCCTCACACAAAGTTCTGTTCTTTCTCCTCTTTTTTCTTTCTTTTTGCATGACTTACCTAGCCCATTCTAACGCCAATTTTCTCATGTGTGCCAATGATATGACTTTCTATGCCTTTCTTCTCAGTCATATTGTCCCAAAATTAAAAACGTTTTATCAGAAATTAGTTATTGGTTAGTTACGTGTGTTTTACTGGAAAGTCATGACCAGTAGTGGGATCACTACAGCAGCTTGTGTGTAAGAACGAATACTCGCCACTGATGACATTGGCAAGTGCCAGTCGTGCTATGTCGTGCGTGAATTGGCCATTGAGAAGTCGGGTTCCAGTGGCTGGAATAGTTTACGAGCTCGCTCACCACTTATAGCCAGAAGGTGGTCCTGCGTTAGGATCCCGTTAGTGGGTGCGTACTGGTGAAGAGTCCCAAGCACTGGGGAGACTGGACAGCTGTCTGGCAGTACTTCCAGCTGGTTTTCCAATGATGTTCTGTAACCGATGTCGTCAGTTCATGATGCTGTCCACCATCTTTTGAGATGCTTGAGCAGCATGGTCGTATTGAAGCATATCCGGCGATGCATTCTAGCGATTAGAAAAATTTTTCAAATTTATGGAGGCACCACTGACTTGAAAATGCATGCCTGCTAAAGCTATTTTGCAAAGTGACAGCCATCATTTAGAGGATAATGAATAAATGTTCTCGAAAACGAAGATGATAGTCGGTGCTGTGTTGTGTTGAGACGACATTCAGATCGGCTGAAACATCAGTGTAATGAGTGGTTTACTTTCTGGACATCTTACATCGTGGCACAGTTATCTAAAGCTAAGCTGAAAGATATGAAAAATCTCTGCACAATTGAGAGAAGGAGTTATCTGACACTTATGAGGAGATAATTTATCTCGGACTGAAGATATAACTGGAAAAGTCAACTGTGAAGTTAGTTGGTCATCATATCCAGGTGAGGTTATAAAAATTCTCCTGAATATGATGATGATAGAGGAAGGCAGAGAAGTTGATCATAACACTGTGGCTGGCACTCGGTAGTGCAACTATAAACTAGCTAGGAACATTTATTTCCCGATGTGAATTTAAAACAAGCTACAAAATGGTGTTAATGAAGCAGGATTTAATGAATTCATCAAATTTCGGTCGAACTCTTCCTCAGCTGAGTACTCAACTTACACGGATATATGTATACATATATGCCATTCGAATTACATTGGGAGATATAAGACTGATAAGCAAATAAACTACATTGAATAAGTCATGCTAAAAGCCAGGTGTGAATGTTTTCCAGGTCATGTTCAAGTAGATAGGTGGAAGGGAGTATGAGTGACTAAAATTAAGATGAAATTCGTTATACCACCATCCAATTACATCACGTAAATAAACAATCGGTTATCAGAGAAAGAACTTGCATATATCAAGAAGTGCGAACTGAATAGTATTAATAATAGTCACAATAATAATAATAATAATGTTAAAACGAGTCAAGGTAAAGACAGTTTTATATGAATCAGGAATAATAATAATAATAAGAGGCAGAATAAACTACTAATAATAATGATAGTGATAGTTAATAAGTAAAACATATCACCATGGTAGATTCAGAGTGACCACCACTTTCTTCCGTACACAGAGACCTGGTTTATAAACTCGAATAGCGCAAGCCTCCACAATTACAATCGTCTTCCT